GTGTGTGTGGGGGGGGGGGCACGCGTCTCAGATTCTGGTGTTGTAAAATGTCTGTTACAATCTCTACAACCAAAAGTACAAATTGTGGGAATCACTAATCTTTTTGAGACTGAGAGCTACTTCAGGGGTACAGCAGATTAACATGAACGGCTACTTGTTTGATACAAACATACATTTACACAACTCGCCTTCACTTGTAGTAATAAATGTACATAAATGTAAATATTTGACTGCTTGATTAAATCTTAATGTTACAGACTTCTTGTGATCATTATTAATAATAGTTTATTTAGTAGTAAATTATTAATATTAATAATAAGTGATTAGAACTGTGTGCAGCTGCAGATGTATCTGAGTTTAGAGTTCTCAGTTAGAAGCACTTTTGGAGCTCTTCTGTGTGACTCTCTTTGTGTCCCTGATGGACTGGAGACCTGTCCAGGTGTCCCTGATGGACTGGAGACCTGTCCAGGTGTCCCTGATGGACTGGAGACCTGTCCAGGTGTCCCCTGCCTTCACCCAAAGGCAGCTGAGACAGGCTCCAGCCCCCACTCCTGGTTAGGAACAAGGAGGACAGAATGGATGGAGGGTTTTTCTTTATAGCAGGAAACAGACATTTAATTATAAAACAGAATTTATTTATGTTTATCTGAATCAGTTTAGTGTATTAATTTGACAGTTTTGTAATGAACAGTTTTGTAACGTTTATTCAAAATAAACCTGTTTCCTATTACCGGTGCTTCTGTAACATGTTTAAAAGAAAATATCAGTAAAATCCTCAAATATCTTCTCAATCATCATCTTTGTAACACTTCAGAAGAACAGTTAAAAAATGCAACTATCAAAGAAAACTTCTTCTCAATCACACGATAATGGTAATGTTTTCGGTCGCGTATGTCTGTCTGTCTGTCTGTCTACGGGCAACATTACTCAAAAACTTGTAGACGGATTTTCATGACATTTTTACTACATGTGGGTACTGGGCCAAGGAACACACCTTTAAATTTTGGTGATGTTCCGGATCACGATGCAGAAACAGGAATTTTTTTTCTTTTAACACTCTGAGATCGGCAAAGCTGTGATGCTTTCACAGGGCTTCTGTAAAAAACAGTGAGCTGGATTGGACAGCACGGACTTCAAACTTTATAAAAGTCATGTTAAAACCACATTTAATGATGAATAATTTTTGCCATAATGTGCACATTTACAGAACGTTTTGTGACCAGGAACTGCGTGACTGCACCATGAAACCTRTTTTTCCCATTTCCTCAAACACACCACATTCCCGAAACTACCAATCAAAACAGTTTCTCATTACAAGGCTTGTAAACAGAGAGCTGCCGGGCCTCAAAGTTTGGAGACGGGGGGAGCCAGGAAGCACTTTATAAAGAGAGTCAAACCATTACAAACTCATACAAGGAGATAAAACAGATGTTTTACATGGTGAAATGTGACTGATGAAAACTTAGGAGCTTAATCCCACACCAGTTTGACCATGAATAACGTCCGGTGACGAGTAAGACTTTTTTTTTTTTTACATTGGACCCCACCGGGAGGAAATCCTGTGCATACTTCCTGCTTAAATGTTCACTACGTCACAACTTATTCGGCAAATGTGTTTCCATCTCTGCTTTTGCGCATTAACTCTGACAGGATGGGGGAAATTGGTCTTGGCGGAGGTTTGCACTCTCCGAGTGCTTTTAGTTTACCATATTTTAAAGACCGTTTCTAATCTGGTGGTGCCCCCCTTGGATAATGGTAGGGGAAATGCTGCCTTGTATTGACAAATCCAATAGTCTTAGATCAAAATCTACYGTCTGTGATCCAGTTGGCCATTGTCTGCATCTAGTTGTGTACCATTGAAATGATTTATTGATAAAGTACGTAACATTTGTAATAAGAGTAGTGAATAAACAGACAAAAATAAACGCTAAGAAAAAAACTTGTTTTAATACAAAAAAGATTATACCTTTTCCTTATAGGTTGTGTATTGGCCCCAATACACAATTTTGCAATTTTTCTTTGAGTCATCTGTTATATTTTACCTGCGTCTTCCTTGGGTGTCGCTGGAGGCCATGCTCAGCATCCACTGTGTGAAATGTGGGGAACACCTGTCCATCACAGGGACGCATAAAGACAAATGAAACAACCATTCACACTCATTTAAGCTTGAATCAATTCAAGTATAATATGTAAAATTGAATCCATAAAATCATGCACAAAGTTGGGGGGTAGTACTATACTCGGATAAATATTTTTACTGATRTATTTTAACTGAAATATCGGCCTCATTCACAAAATCCGAGTCCGGAAATGAAACCACTTCGTAAAAAGCGGTTGAAGCGAACTTACCTCTAAAACTCCTTCGTGCCTCTGAGCGAGATAGTAACAGATCCAAGCAGGCAACATGATGTGAAAACAAAGGAAAAAAAAGGCAGTCCTGCATAATGAACTAATGATATTAATGTGTGACTGGGATGGGACAACAACAAACACATGGTTGGCTGTAAGGGCTGCCGTCTACCGGTGTTCTGTAAAAGTTGGTCTACCTGAAAAAAGTTTCCCCACCAGAGGGGGCGCTCATGAGACACAGAGCATGAGATTGTTGTTGAGTGAGATTCTGATGCCTTTATTACAGAGGAGGAATACCAGAAACTTTTAATGATACAGATGATGGTGAGCCTGATTCAGAAGGCTTTTGATTCAGCTTCATCCACACTTGTTAGAGCCACATACAGTGGTTTGCAAAAGTATTCATACCCCTTGAACTTTTCCATATTTTGTCACATTACAACCACAAACA